TGACCGTGACTCAGAAGCAGAAGCAGCTGCAGAATTAGGTGGAAGGACAATATTAAAATCATCAGAATATTGTTTCTTGGAAATAATGAAAAAAATGAATGAAATGATAATACAACTGTTATAATACTCCAAGTAAAATCATGAATTGATATTTAAAGACTCCAAGGAGTACAGAATTTTAACATTTATGGCTCTACCACTTACTATTTTGCCTTGAAGAAAGTAACTCAAACCTTTCTGGACCTTGGTTCCCCATCTTGAAATGGGCATAATTAATAATATTTACTGCATAGGCATTGAGTATATGGATTAAATGATGTTATCCATATAAAAATGCTTAGTGTCTTAGTAAATAATAAGCATAAGCAGTTATTTTATTATCACCACTATTATTACAGAAGTTTCATTCTCAGACCTATTAAAGCTTCATGACTTTAAAAGTAAGGTATCATAAACATAAATAATGAATAATAATTTTTCTCTCCTATAATTTATTATTGTCATTTATATTGTCATATATATATATTTTCCCATTTATATTGCTGAATCTAGTTGAGGTTAGGTAAGCTTTAGAGCCAATTAGTATCCATGACTTTATTTGTTCCTTACATCAACATTGACAGGGGAGAGCTTATCCCCATTGGACTGAGTGTATGGAGTAAGTAATGTGTCCAAAGCCACGAAGCTAGTAACCGGTAGCAACAGGATTCAGGGCCACACTGTCCAATCCCTACTTGAAGACTTTTCCCATCATTACAGTATTTTCCAAAATATCAACTTCATAATATTTAATTCCAAGCAATAAATGTGACCCTAAGTAGATCAGCAGGAAGACCATGAATGGGAAGTCTACTGTGACACAGATCCACTGTCATGTAGACACAGACGCAGGAAGATGGTCATGGGCTTGACTGTGTTTGCAGTGATGACCTCATCAAACATTAGTATCATCATTTCCCACTAGGGCAAAGGTGTCCCCCAAAGGGATTTCAGTGTGTGTGGTCAAGTGACATGGAAGGTCCCTGAGCAGATTTCCCACCCCCAAAATGTCAGAAAGCATCTCCTACCCCACACCATCCATTTGCCTTCCTAGTCCCCTGTATTTATGACCTAAGGGATGAACTGCTCATCTTTCTCTCTCTGGCTAGAGCAAGTCTTATTTTATCCTCCTCTGTTGCTTTGACTTGGCCTAAGCTGGTCCTCCACAGGTAAGAAATGCCTCTCCTCCCAACACCAAATGGGAAAATTTGACTTTTTCTTTAAATCCTGATTAAAAGGCATTTGCTCCATGAAAAATGCCAAGCACCCACCCCACCATCCAAAATCATCTCTGCAACCCAAATCTTCTATTTGTTTATTTAATCAGCTTTCCCTGGCACATTTCTCAAACTTTCTCTCTCCTCTCAGTTATATCAGCAGCTCAATGCCCTGATTCAAGACTTTGCAGTTACTCAGCCATACACAAGGTCTAGGGATGGCGCTGGATGACCAAACGAATGACAATGATCAGTGTCCTGTCTTGTGTACATGTCTGGGGCTTTTTCTCTACTGTTCATGAGCAAATCACTATGGAGGATTGAGGTATTTATCCAGATAATTTTTAAAAATGAAATGAGAGGCTCAGGATGTGGCTCAGTGATGGAACATTATCTAGCATGGCTAGGCCCTGGGTTCAAACCCCAGTGCTACAAGAAATATGAAAAGTGGCTTGAACTCAAAAACCTTGTCGGATAAGAAATTAAAACTATTGTCAAGTCTTTTCAGATAAATTTCTTAATTCTCCATTTCACCCTACATACATAGGAAAGGATTCTGAGAACAAAAGATCACAACTTAAATAAGTCCTTAAAAAAGAAAAAAAAATTTATATTCAGAGAAAAGTAAGAAGGATTCACCTGATAAAAATTCAGAAAGAAATAACAGGAACTTTAAAAAGAACTATCACCCCCATTGGATCTTACTATAACAGGCCACCCGCTACTCTTGATCAATCTGATATCTCTTGACTGTTATTATTTGTTGTCTGTCTGGAAAGGAAGGAGAGAGCGTGTGAGCTGGGATGGAGAAGACTTAAAGAAAGCACAGTAAACTATCCACGTATTTCCCACAGGGGTTAAAGGACCTCTTCCCAAAGGAACAGTAGGCTTATTATTGGGACGCAGTTCTTCTACTCTAAAAGGACTTATGATAAGTCCTGGGGTAATTGATCCCGATTATGAAGATGAAATAAAAATTATAGCCAGTTCTCCAAAGGGTATATCAGTAATTTCACCAGGAGATAGAATAGCACAGTTATTAATAATACCCAGCCTACATGATAAATTTTCCAGTCGTACTGTAGAAAGAGGTTCCAAGGGATTAGGCTCCACAGGTGTAGATTGGGCTATGCTTTCTTTAAATTTAGATTCTCGCCCCATGCTAAAACTAAATATTCAAGGACATGAATTTAATGGGCTAATGGATACAGGTGCAGACCTTAGCATCATCTCTCATCAAGAATGGCCAAAACATTGGCCATTACAACAAGCTACTCAAACGCTTCGAGGCCTAGGAGTGGCAACTAATCCCCGTACGGGCCACCAAATGCCACAGTCTGGCTGGGCACAATTCAGGAGCCACTTGTCAAAAGAAATGAACTTTATTTTTAGAACACACACACCACACCACACAGCTCCTCAGGAAAAACCTTCAGAGCCCAACTGCCACCACCGGCTTCCCACAAGCCTCTCCACCTCCCCCACTCCTCCTGCTCTTGAGGCTGATTGGCTGGGTCGCATGGGCGGAGCCAAAAAAAGTCCCCCAGTGAGCAGCTCCATGGTCTGAAAGAGTGGGGAAACAGCCCAATGAGCATCACCGCAGAGGAGCCAATCAGTTGGCAGCTAGAAGTTTGCTGGGGCAGCTGTGAGCCAATCATCAGCTGGCAGCTGGAAGTTTGCTGGCAGCTGGAAGTTTGCTGGGGCCCCTTCGGCTGTGGCTCTCAACAGTTTCACAAATTGCATTGGCAAGAATGAAGGAAGGAAAGAAGAGAGGGAGGAACAGAGGGATGAAAAAAACTGCTGACTACAAAACGAGAATGGAATTGTCACTTTGTGATATTGCTCCTGTCATCCTGAAGTTGTATCAGGGTATGACTAGTTAGCCTCATTCAATCCTGCTCGCTCCTGACCAGGTGGACCACATTTATTGATTGCTGCCTTGAACATACCACCACTGGGAACTCTATGGCCAAACACCCCAGGTCCAGCTGAACACTATTCCATTCTTCTACAATGAACTATCTTTCTAGCCTTTGTCTCTGCCAGTAATTAAAACATGGCTTTGGACAACGTACACCCGAGAGGCTTCAATTCCTGTCTGGCTCAGCATAGGACCCATGCCCCAGTAGCCCTGGAGGTCAAAATAGCACCTTAGGAGGGAAGTGGGATGATCTAGACAGCTCTGCTCCTTAGTGTGGTTGGAACAGGGCATGAAGGATGGCTTCCCCATGTGCGTCCTGAGAAAGACTGATCATAAGAAAGATGCCTATGAATAAAGTCTCAGGGTCAAATAAATCTGGAAAGAGTCTAGTCTGAATCTTCCTCTGAGAGCTTCACAATGCCAACAGGCATAATAAGGGGGACAAAAAGACTTGCAGCAAAGAACTCTGGAATATGTCATTTATCCCAGCATATCCCAAATTTATTTTACTCCAAAACTTCTTTCCAGTAACATCTTTTAACATTGAAATTTAATTTGGGAAATGCTTGAAACTACACTTAACAGCTAGTGGCTTAGAGTCTAAGTTATAAGGCTTTGAGTGCAGAATCTGACCAAGAATTCTGGCAAAATGTTGTTGTTCAGCTGAAGAGTTAAACTAGAAACAGGGGGTTTCAACTTTCTGACAACAAAACTGTAAAATCATCTGGAAATTTTACTTTATTATTATAGGAGAACTATATTTTTGAAACAAGATAGAGAAAATGAGAACGAGATACATACTTTGTGATATTGCTTCATATTTACAACAGTAAATATGCTTCACACTTGCAATGGTCCATAGCAGTATATTCTATTTAAAATGATTTTCTATCAGAGACCTACAACCCAATTTTATGTCTTTATGTGGGAAAAATGAAGCAGAGAGCAAAGCAATTACCCAAATATTCCAAATCAACTTCTCTTTCTACAACGATAAAATTGTGCCTGTTCATTTTCAAATAATTTAAGCTTACTATGCTTGGGAGCCCAAGTTATCTGGAAAGTTATCATTATTTCATACTGTTTAAATATAATTTATTAATATATTGAGCCTTTAGGAAGATACAGTCATGGACTATCTTTAATATGACTAAGGAAATATCTAGAATATTATATAACATAGTACAATGAAAATTCCCCAATACCTGAGAATTAATGTTCCCATATTTGTAGTTCTAATATATACTAGGAAAGAAGATTTGAATACTCAGTATCATGAGTACCTGTATCAGAGATTCCTAAAAACTCAATCCACCCAAATATAAATCATATAACATAAAATTTATAAATTTACTGTTTAACTTCAAGTATCTCCAGTAATTCAATTAAAGTCTGTCCACATTTGTGAAGGGAAAATCCCAATCGCATGGAACTAATCTGTATTTCAGATTACCAATTTTTTTAACTTAACACTTACCAATTTTTTCAAAATAGTTTTTAAGACCCAGGCCAACCCATAAAAAGATCTATTCAAATTGAAATTTAGGTGCTGTTGCCTGTTTCATTTTTTAAAATTGAGGACCGTAAAAACATAAATACGTTACATTCTCCCTTCTCCAGAATACAGCTGGTAAATATGTCACACGGTAATACAATAGGAATCACAGAAAACACATTCCAAAGGATTTCCTCTGGCTAAAATCTTGGAGGACAGGAAGCTGATAATGAACTTGTTAGATTGAACTTTTCTCTTCACTCATCCCATTTCAGTCTAGTGGTCAAAATGACCATGTTTTCAAGTTGCCCTCGCGGCAGTGCCTTACCAGTGTAGATGCTGGCATTGGAAGCTGGGATACCAAACTGTGACTCGATGAACTTGGGAATGAAGGTAATGAAAGCAGTTACAATGGCACTCTCAGCTGTGTATGACAAACTCACAAAAAGGAATGTCATGTTGCTTAAGATCCTGACAGCTGCTCTTGGTAGGTCTATAAAATGACAAAAATGACAAATGAATATTATAAACAATGGATGGAAAACAAAATAAAACTGAATTGTTTTTGAAATGAACTGCAAGTAGCCGTTCAGCAATATTTGCCACAAGAGAATAAAAACAGAAAGATCTGATGACGATTAGAAAACAACCCCTTGGTTCAATAGAGCTGGTTTTGGTTTGATGTTTTAATTATCAACCAGAATAAGGAAATAACACACCTACAACCATATTCATACACAAATATCCTTACAAGCAACACCCAACCTGTGACTCCTATTTCAAAATCTGTTTAAATTATTTGTATTCTTTATTGATTGAAGACAGTTATTTTCCATGAAGACCTCTGAGTCCATTTAATGTGGGAATTACCTGCAGATCAGTCCTAAATTAGGGTTGCCAGTTCCCCCAACATCATGCCCCTTACAACATGCATTTCTAAGTCGCCATATTGTTGACCTCACATTGAAGATGCCCACAGCTGAGGAACAGGAAGGTGATGTCAGGCACCTGGTTCTCCAGCCTCACTTAGGAAATAATCATAGCTAAAGAAGCTCAAAAGGATAAGGCCATCAGATCAGACATTTTCAGGTACTTTGCACTGGAAAACAAAGAACCATGATCTCCCCAAGGGGAAGGAGAGCCCAGAGATGGTGGCTTGGCATCTACTGGACCACCCCTCACGAAGGAGAAAAAAGCCTCATCCTTAAGTCTAGACATTTATTTCACAGAACTTGCTACAGCTATATAAGCAAGTATTTTCATTGCAGCATTGTTTATAATAGAAAAAAAATAAGGGGGCCAAAGGTGCATCAATGGGAAACGTTTAAATAAATTAGTTACATAATGGAATACTACAGAGTAGTTTAAAAGGACACAGAGCTGCATGTACTAGCACAAAAGAACTCTAAGAAATGTTGTTATTAATGATTAAAGCAAGCTGCAGAAAATGTACATACATATATAGTGTCACAAAAATCAAACAAATCAAACTAATGTACTTATATGTGGTCAAATATATACTTCTCCAATGTGTCAAAATGCATTCTCCTGTCACATACAACTAATTAGAACAAATTTTTTAAAAAATTAAAAATAGTTATATACTTATCAATATATATCTTAAGGGCTTAAGTTGTATGAACAGGATTGAATTGGGAAAGATAAGAATGAAATAAAATTCTGTGTATATATTTTGTATTATTTGTATGTTTGTAATGTGAATTAATGCACATTTAGGTAATTTTTACATTTCTTCATGGAAAAATAAGTTGCACTATTTTTGACAAAGTCATCTCAAAGAATAGTTATCCCCTTATGCTCCAACACAATACAGTGATTTCATTAAAAATGAACAACTTTCATTGAAACTGTAATTCATAGCCTCTTATTCCTCAGAATCTAAAATTAACAAGCCAAGACTATTTGCTATAATTGTTTAAAAATTTAACATTCTACATCTTAATTCAATTTTTAAAAGTTTAGCATTTTGAAAGAACAATGAAGCTGTATACTTTATTTTTTAACATGGACAAACACACCAGAGAATAAAGCCTTTCATATTACTAGCCAATACTTTCTTGCAAACACAAGATTAAAATGTCATATCCAAAATTTTAAAATTAGAAAGTTTAGAAATTAGAAAAAAATAGAAAAATTACCTGTCTACATATAAAGATTAACATTAAGTTTAGTTGATATATTTAAAGCCAATATGTTGAATCAAAAACATCTGGGAGAAATATAAAATAAAAAATTTTAATACAAAAAATATGTATCCCATACATATTTTAAAATATACCAGTTATACTAAACCGGTTTTCCATTTAGACTCACCTGATACAATAAAAATGTAGTTTCAAACATAACTCAATAGAAATAGGTTTTGGTTCTCTTTCATTAAAAAACAAGGTCTGCTTTTTATTTAAGTAGAATTTAGAAAAGTTCAGACTTTCAAAAACTCTACGTTAACAGTGCTGGGGATTGAAGCCAGGGCCTGGTGCATGCTGGTGCTCTACTCAGCTACCGCCCCAGCACAGATTCCTTCTTTCTTCCACCTTCCTCATCCCCTTTATTGAGGCTGAGCTTTCAGCCTGCATGCCCTGCAGGAATGGAGGGCGCAGGTCCAGGGTTGTACCTTCAAGTAGTGGCACTGAGTGTTTTCTTACGTACAGAGAGAGCAAATAATTACAGAGTAATGGGAGTCTGCTTTCCAACTGCTAGAAGGAGTTACAAATACAGAAAAGTAGACAGTTCAATATCAGTTTGGAGCTGGAGATATTGTTATGAAGCAATTAGACAAATAAATAAATGATTAGATAGATAAGATAGACTAGCAGCGATAGATGACAGGATCGATTATATAGATAGGCTAGATAGATACTTAGAATAAGTTGATTGACAGGTGATAGATGATAGATATGTGTGCACGTCCCAACTCTGTCTGCTAACAGGTCTTAGAAATAATCACACTCTGATAGCAATGAGCTCATCTTGTACTAATTTCTTGGTTTCTAACAATCATTTTCCACTAACAGGAACCAGAGAAATATCTAACTTCAGAATTGAAGCAAAGAACAAGCAAGCTGAGCTTAGGAAATCTTGAACAAGAAGTAAAGAAGCCAGGCGCAGTGATTCACACCTGTAATCCCAGGGACTCAGGAGGCTGATGCGGAAGGATCACAAGTTCAAAGCCCAGTTTCAGTTACTGAGCAAGGCCCTAAGTGATTTAGCAAGACCTTGTCTCAAAATAAAAAAAAAAAAATAACAAGGGCTGGGGAGGTGGCTCAGTGATTAAGCACCCCTGGGTTTAATCCCCAGTGGCAACCTGGGAGAATCTGAACTCAGTAGATGTTAAAAGCAGTCGGTGAAAATCTAATAGGAACAAGATGCAGTCAATCCTCATTATCTGTAGATTTCATATTTGCAAATTCACCCACTATTAAAATTTCATTGTAGCCCCAAAATTAATACTTAAAAGCACTTTTACAGTCATGCTCAGGGTAGCAAAAACTTGAGTTATCCAACCCATCCGTTGGGCTGGGCTGAAACATAGCGACTCTCCCACCTTATTGTTTCAGCTTTCATCTAGTAAGTGAGGATCCTTTTCACAATATAGCGTCCTATCTTTCTCTTGCTTTCTGTTGGTGACTTGCTTTTTAAATGTTACCAAGGGTAATGCCGCCATGCTGTCTCACATTCCTAAGCACAGAGTCTGCGAGGAGCTTATGGAAAAACTGCATTTGTTAGAGAGACTTCCGTTAGGCAGGAGTTACAGTGCTGTGGTGTGGTGAGCTCAATGCTAATGAACTGACAATATATGTTCAATAAGGGGTCTTTAGACAGAAACTTAGGTAAAATAAGGTTTTATGGGCTGGTAATTATGTAGTGACAGGAACCCAACTCTGTGTCTCCCTGGGAATGATGCTTCAGTATTCATTAATTCAGGGTTCATGGTAACTTGGTAGAACAAAACTGTTGCAAATAATCAACTCACTTTACAAAGCTTCAAAATAGTTCCTAACAAAGTATTTATAGATTATTTTTTGACTAATAATTATCTTGTACTTATTAACTTAAGCAGGGAGAAAACAAGCAAATGCAATTCTATCCGGTGATCAAAGTTAACCTGATTATGGGGTGAATTAACACCTTCTGTCTCTGTTACGATGCACTAAGCATGGCATCATTTGGGTGGTAGGCCTATAAAACTACAAAAATCAAGAAAGGACATCAAACCTAAACTTCATTCTATGAAGTTAATGGTTCTTACATTTTAAAAAGATCAAGGTTATGCAAGACAAGGAAAAATGAGAAACTGATATAGATCAAAGGAGAATTAAAGACACAAAAACTAGAAGCCAGGTGCACTAGCACACACCTGTAATCCCAACTACTCAGAAGCTGAGGCAAGAGATTCACAAGTTCAAGGCCAGGCTTGAACTCACCAAGACCCTGTCTCAAATTTTTTAAAAAAAAATTTAAAGGGCTGGGGATATAGCTCAATGCATGAGGCCCTAGGTTTAATCCCCAGTACTGCAATAAGAAAGAGAGAGAGAGAGAGAGAGAGAGAGAAAGAAAGAAAGAAAGAAAGAAAGAAAGAAAGGACACAAAAACTAATACACATGGCCCTGGATTGGATCTTGGACATAAAGAACGTTATTGGGAGCAATCATCAAAATTTGAGTGGGGCCTATAGTTTAGATGTCAGCATTGTTTCGATGTTAATTTCCCATTTTTTGACGCCTGCCCAGTGATATAGGAAAGTATCCTTATACTTAGGAAACACAGGACAGTATTGGGATCAGGAAAACATTGTGTCTGTGACTTCCCAGAAGTGTTAATGGTTAAGAAATCATTATAGGGTGCAGGATAACTGGAGCTCTATGGGCTATTATTCTTCAGCCTTTATGTAAATTCAAAGTTATTTCAAAAACATCAAGTTTAAAAAAATTAAGTTAGCAAATTATTTGCTAAATCTACAATTTTACAACCAAATACCTAAATTTTTATGCTGCAGGATATATTTTAGATCGGTTTCTCAGTGTCATTTATAATTGTGTCCTTATAAAATCAAAGATGTAATAAAAAGCATGGTGAAGGAGAGGTGATGAGATAATGATGGTGATTATCATTTTTGATCATTTAATGCTAAGAAATCTTATAAATTCAATGATAAGAGCAGACTGACAGACCAAGAAATGCCTTTAAACAGTTGTACGCAGGAATAAAATTCCATTCAAAGCACCAAATTCAAGAGAATATAATATAAAGAGGATTATACTTAGAAATTGCTTTTAAAAGAAGTGTTAATTTCATTGTCAGATCCTTTGCTCCTTCAGGATAGACATCAGCAGCAGTGCCTGTGACCCCATCATCCTGTGCACCTGGACCAAGTGTTAACATTGCACTTCAATCCCAGCAGGGCTGTGTGGAGACACATTTGATGTGATCCCTCCTAGCAACCTTGCAAACCTTTATTAGAGTTTCAGAAAA